TCTGGGTGCAGTATTTCTACAAAAATGGGGTTTCCTAAATGTGAACTAATGCAAGAATCCCTCAAAGTGGTATATCAGCTTTCAAGGGAATTGCACTTCAGGAAGGATTTAAAGTTTAGCTTTCACCGGGAGTTTAGTAACTTTTAGCTATGAAGGTGTGAGTTATGTTTTATCATACCTCTTTCAAAGCTGATAAGAGAAGTGTTTTGGCCAATATTCCCCTCGTGGAATGATTAATGCAGGAAGACCACAGCATAGGTGTTGCTAAAAACAGTTCCCCCCTTCTCAAGGTGTTATTTGTCCACTATAACACTGCAGACATCCATATGTACCTACTGGTTAAATTTCTAGTGCCTCTCTGGAGACTGCCCCAGAGGATCGTTTATATGGGACTATGCAAAAACAGTGCACGGGATTTGGATTAGTTTGCGGTTCACTATAGGGCAATAGCGTAGCTGTAGTTTAGCCTGGCATGTGGTTTTTGTGCATCTGCATCAAGTATTTTTCCCCACTTTACACCTAGGGTTTTCAAATCTCTAAAGTGCAGCTGAGAACGGAGTGTATGTTATGGTAAAGCTTGTGGAAAGCCTTTGGAGGGACTTCTGCGTACTCAGATTTCCTTACGTCCTGGTGCTCACGTGGACAGTAGCGGCAGCGAGGTGAAATGTTGGAAAACATGGGATTGGAGTGGATTAGAGATGAATCTTTGCACAAATAACTCTGTGCTATGTGAAAGCTTTAATATAGTTTCTTTAATCATATTTCATTTGCTCAGGCTGTTCAGCTGATATTTTCAATACTCAGCTTGCAATTTGCAACACCTAAGTTTTCATCTATCTCACCAGGTTTACGTTTCTGGCTTGCCTCAGCATGTGTTCAGAGTAAAAGCTACTTTAAATATCCACTAATGTATTTGTCTTTCTTGTCTGGTTTTCTGTACTGTACATAGGGAATGTATCAAAACCAAGAGAAGAGGTCCCTTACAGGATGAAGGATAGCTTCTATTTTCAACTAATCGACCTAAAGGGTATGAGTGGGGGGGAGGGAGGTTTCACTGTGAGTGACATGTCCTTGTATACTCCTAATGTGTCTTTTGGGGTGTAGAGTATTTCAGATACCTTCCTCTGACAGAAAGTGTTCTTTCTTGCTTTTAGCTAGATCTTTGTTCTTTAGGGCTTGTTTTCATTGAGAGGAGAGCCTTTTGTCTTGCTCGGGGGGTAAACATGTAATATTGTCATTCTTATTCTGGACTGTATTTTATACTTACACAAAGATAACCTGTAGTAAGAATTGTGATGATGGGGAATATGCTGTGGATATGTGGAGACCTAGCCCTACGATCATGGTTACTCTCTATAGTGACTGAAATCCTAATCTCATCGATGTCTGACAGTTTTGTCACTGACTTGAATGAATTCAGGACATCATTAGGTGTATATGTGAGTGTGTAGAAATATATGTATACATATGCATATACATACACATACATATGTACTGATATATAGCACTTATAAAAACATTTTATGGACTGCCCTAAAGGCCTGAACCAACAAAGAATATTTATACTCCAGATACCCAGCAGCCTCGTGCTACAAGAGAATAGAGAGCCATTAATCTGAGACATATGATGTCTTTTTGAGACTTCCTAGGGAGGACATTAGAAGTCAATCTTAGGAACTTGTGAATCTTCTTGGAACCAAATGTAAGGAACTTGCAGCAGTCGTCTGCTTTGTTGGAACTGCCATCCTGGAGAATAAATGGATGGGGTTGCCCAAGTAACAAGTGGCATTGTGACTAATTTTAAGATCTGAGTATTTCTCATGTCCCTTTCTGTAAGCATGAACTCAAAATTTTTTCCTACCACTGAGGCATTTGTACATAGCTATTTTCTCAAAGACTTTTCTGATACTTAATAATTTTCCTTCACTGTGCAGCCTTTCTCTTGGGAAGGCCTCCTACAGGTTATCTCTAATTTCATAAAGTGAAAAAAAATTAGTGTTTCTGAGACCTCCGTTACCTTGTGGAGTGTACTAGTGGGTGTGAAGCTCATGAGGAATTGAGGGGGAGGCAGCTGACCTCGCTCTGAGCTTCCCCCTGCAGACTCCCAAAAAGACTGCATAAGCCTCATTCCCTCAGGCTAACTGCACATGTTTTTATCCTGATGCTAGCAGAGGTACAAAACATAGGTTATGCAGGGGATTTTCAGTACCCACTTTGATTAGATGCCCTCCACAGTCTTTAAACAACTATGTTGTATCAGACAGGTAGGCTGATCTGCAAATATGCTTGGTGCATGAAATCAGTCTTATTTTATGCCAGTAAAACCTTCTGTAGGCTTGATCCTGCAAAACACTCCCTAAATGTCCCATTTAACATGCAGCTTGTTTGGGAAAGAACCACTGAATGATTTCATCTTTCCTCAGGTTGTGCTTTGCACTGTGGTGCTGAGGGTATTTGTTTGTTTGCTCATTTAAAGGCCTCAACAGCAACTTTGGCTTTTTCCCAGGGTAACTGGATGTTGCATATAGCAGTTGGGCTTGGGGGACTCACTCTCCTTGGGGAAGAGCTGTAAGCTGTGTAATGCCTGAGACTTTGCCTCTGACATACTGGCCCCTGTTTTCCCAGGGGGAGTTTTACCTAGAGCAGGCAGGGCTTTCCAGTTTTTTTTTTTTTTTTTTTTTTACTATACCTATTGCAATAACAGGGTCCTGGCCTAATAATTCTTTGATGATGGAATTATGCTAAGCAGGTTTTGAACATTTTCCTTCAAAATCAGTTTTAAAACTCATTCTTCCCTCCCCCTCCTGGATAAAATTCCATTTACAGAAATCTTTCTTTCTTTCTTTCTTTCTTTCTTTCTTTCTTTCTTTCTTTCTTTCTTTCTTTCTTTCTTTTCCTGCCAAAGGAAAATTGAGAATTTCAGACTATTGAAGATTTCCATAGGGAAATTAAGGAGAATAGTTTTCCTTGTTCTCTTTCCTTTCCATGTTGAAAAAAAGTCTGAACAAAAATGGGAGAGCATACCAAACTTCTTGTAAGCCTTAGATCTCAGAAAAGTAAGACCTCAGAAAAAAGTTAAACTCAGAAAAATAAAAAGGTGGAGAGAATCTTAAATCTCCTATCCCAGCAAACAAAAGCAAATTCAAAACAATATAAAGGTCTCCAAAATGAAGAGGAGAATCATGTAAAACTCCTTTTCTAGGGAAAATACATTCTGTTTTTCTCATTAGTGTCAGGTGGTTGACACTTACATGATCCTTTGCTAGGCCCTTTACTAGGAGTGCATAGTTGGGAGGTGCCCTGAGTTTTAGAAGGCTGAAAAACAAGAAAAATGTACTAGGTCAGCAAGTCCAGATGAATTTCATTTTTATTATTTCGTTTTGCAAATACTTTCAATATATAGTTATGTTTATAACTGAATAGTGCACTTATACTGAAGCAAGTAGAGTTTAGTATAATTTAATGTAATTGCTAAATAGGCACACGTTCTCTTTGCTACATTTGCAGTATTACAGAGTTTTCACAGGGGCCTCATGATTTTGAGAGCTTCTGATTTTGGATGTCATCATGGGAGAGCTTTAGGGGGCCTTATTTAAAAAATTTACTAGCACAAACACTCTAAAAATTAGACTCATTTGTCTTTTTTATTTTCTGGAACATTCGCTCATCTGATATTTTCTGTTTTTGACTCTAATGCTGCATCTGATATTATGGTGCAGACAGGAAAATTTCGATCTTTTTCAGGAACTATTTATCTTACATTTTTTTCAAGATTTTTGCATACAGAACAACACTAACCTGGGGGAAAAAACCCCAGAACTTAAGCTATGACTTTCATATTTCTTCAGAAATGAATAATTCAGGTGTCTCTCACTTTTTATTTTTTTTAAATCCCAATAAGCTAAACTGCAAATTGGTATTAGTACTGATATTACATGACCAATTTTGGTCTTCCAGTCTTTAGTTTAAAGATGACATTGCTTATATATTTAGCATAGTCAGCTGCTGTATTAACTGCTTTAGCATCAAAAAAGAAAAGCGATTGTACTCAGCAGGATTTGGCACTGAGACTGACTTAGAATAGTTAAAACAGTACAGAATCATATCTTCTTTTACAAGATCATTGCTCTAAGAAAAGATTATGGCATATATGTAAAATGTATAATTACATACCTTTTTTATTGCAAGGAAAACATGCACAGTTGCTGTGGCATCTTTGTAAACTCAAATTTAATGTAGACAGTGCTAGAATCAATGAATAGCACATTCCAAACTTACTCTTAAAACCACATAATTTGATTGTAAAAGCGTTCAGAAGGAAATTAATTAAGTCTTAATAGGTTGATAATGCTTCTAAACGGAGACCTTCCAAAACCCTGGTGTACCTTTTTTTTTTTTTTTTTTGCTTTTAAGATCCTTGAATTGAGTATTGACCATTCTGCAATACCCTTTGTAGATTTAAGAGTAAACATTACCCAGAGAAAAGGACAATGGAGCATTTGGAAATCCCATTTTGTTATCAGATTGTCATGTGGAAGTTGTTACTTTAATTCTTTGGAACATTATAGCAGGGAATTTTAAGTATATACGTATATGCCTATACCTATACTGTACACATACACATCTATACAGACACGCACAGATATGTTTGTTTAGACATTTAATTACATGTGTAGATATTTAGGCAGATTAGGACACTACTACCTTCTACAGCAAAGTTCAAAGTTTCCTTGGTGATTTATATTTTTGAGTTTATCTTGGCTCACTAATGGTCTAATGTATATAATCCTGCCTCAGAGGATGAAGTCAACTAACTGAGCTTTTGAGACTTTCCCAGCTTTACATTCCTGTTACTTTTGAGGGTGTGCATTCCTTTTTTTTAAATTTTTGATAAATGGTACGAGGGAATAACACTTAGAAATTCTGACAGTCTCTGATCTGGGCTCTTCTGTGTGTCTTGCTACACTTGGCCTAATCAAGTCTCCCCTTAACATTCACAGGTACACACTGGTGGATATTTTGCGTGCCATACTTCTTTCTCTGGAAGCCATGATAGAAGATCCTGAGCTTCAGGTGAATGGATTTGTTTTAATCATAGACTGGAGCAACTTCACCTTCAAGCAGGCCTCTAAGCTGACACCAAGCATGCTTAGATTAGCCATAGAGGGCCTTCAGGTAAAGTTCTACTTTTCTTTCTTTTCCTGATTTCCCTTCTTTTTGTGGTTCATTAAAAACCTGGATGGCTACGGAAGCCCCAAACCTCAAATCCAGGAAACATGCACACTTCAAAATAGCAAGGTTATTAATGCCTTTTAAGGCATGGGCGCAAACAAAGGAGTAACTGTGAAGCAACTCTCGGTAGTCAGCTAACTGCAGTAATTCCCGATGTGTAGGCTCTTAATTTGCCATAAATAAGAGGTAACTTTTCCATCTTTATTCCAGAGTGGCTGACTTCCCGTAAATTCACGTTCTAGCTTCCGCCGCAGTAAGTTAGAAGTAATCAGTTTCTCTTGTCGTTTTGGGCAGGGCTAATAAAATATGGTGCTGCTGCCATACCAGGTCATTTTCTTCATTGATTCTATTGGAGATAGGTTCACACTATATCACTTGACCTGAAAAGCATGGGGCACTGTGATTAGGCAGTTAGCTGAGACTGTTTACCCACTTTAAGCTCAGCAGCTGCTTGACTGCTGGATCAGGATTCATGTGAACAGCAAATTGCAGAATTGAGTATATGAGGATTTAAATTTCTTGCTTTCTCATTGTAAATGCACTTTACATGGCACAGGGACACTGCTGAGGATACTGCATAACTCTTGGCTGTTTCTTGTGATCTTTAATGATCATTAAAATGAAAAACTGGGTTCTGTAAAGTAGTTGTTTGCTGTGCAAGCTCGAGTTGCTGTGTTAGTAATACCTGTAATTCACTCCTGTGGCAGTGTGCTTTGGTTTTACAAGGACATATATTACTTTTCTTTGATATTTTTATCATTTGTACATTTTTATTACGCATATAAAATAAAATAACAACCTTCTCTTTGAACTTTCTTTATTTTGATATTGCTATTTATGTGGAAATGAGTGTAGAAGTAGTATGGAGTTTTGATCTGCATCTTGCAATGACTTAACCAACATTCAGGTTTCTGTTGCACAGAAGGGTAGTTGCAGTCATCAGATAGAGATCTGAATTTGTCATTTTGTTGCATTTCGTTATACAACGGTGTGATTCCATGCTCTTGAGAACTATATAAGAAGGCAACAGTGAGATCTGTATTTATAATAGTTCTGTGTTTCCTTTTGTTGTTTCCAAAGCTTTTTATTTCTTGTGCGCTATTTTCAAAGTTAGCCAGTAGATTTTTTTTTCTTGGAAATAAATAAATACTTTAGTAATCTTTATATTTAAATGGTTTTATCTCTTCTTGGACATTAATCAGAGACAGTTCTTTTGAGGAGAGCTGCAGCAGATAATTACATCTGAAAATATGATGAATGACCTACCAGACTGTTAAGTTGGACTCTGAAATTCTGTGCTCTCCTACCATCAGTTGCCATGTTACTGAGTCAGGCTGAAGTCCCTTTGTTTTGCTTTCCATGCCCAGCAACGAAATTTCCAGCCAAAGCCCAGCTTTGTAGGTTCCAATACGACAATAGCCAGCACCCAGGGCTTCACTTTGTGCCCACTGTCTTCAGTCCTGTTGACTTCAGTGATGTAAAGCCAGGTACAAATAGGGGATGAGAAGGTCCTGGAATGGCAAACGTGAAGTAAACTTAACCAGCCCTTGAAGGGCCTGCCCTAATTCATGATGGATATTGTTGTCTGTAAGCAGCAGCTTTTATGAGGCCTTTTGCCACAGATCTTTTGAAGAAATCAATTAATTGGACTCTCGTAATAAATCAGCTCATTTTCTGTGGAGAAGCACTGTGGGAGTAAAGGCTAGCATTCTCATACTAGCAAAATTGCCTGACTCTAGTGATATTACTCTAGTTGCACTTCTTGGAGGCTTGTTTATATTTAATTTCTGTCTTTTTTTTTTAAATAAACATATTTCTATGTAGAGATATATTGGAATCAATAAAATGGGCTAAGAACAACTGTGCTGAGCATCTTGGAGGGAAAACTTCGCTTTAAAAAAATGTGATCAGGAATAAGAAGTAAGAAGAATAAGAAGAAAGTATGATGGAAAGGTGGTACAGGGAGTCCCTGGAAAAAGGCTAGGGTTTGCTTGCATCTCCTTGCAAGTTTTAATACCTAAAATATTAACTTTCTTACCCTGAACAGAGATTGTCTTTTATTTTGGACAAAAATGTATAGCAGAAACATCATTCTGAATAAGCGGAAGTCAAAAGTGCTTAGTCAGGTGGTATGAAAAAGAACAAGAACGACTCAGGCACACTGTTTATTTATGATCTTTGTAAATACTCTCAGTTTAATCAGAGAAATGGAATTTACTTTGACTTACAAGATTTAACAGGGCTCAAGATGCTGAACTTTACCATTTAGGGAATCTAAATATTTATCTTACTTGGGTAGAAGGGGACAGGGGAAGTGGGATTAGTGACCACTAAATTTGATGTTAACCAAATCCCTTTGCCTCCTGAATCAAATCTATTATATTTGTATTGTATTTGCTTGGCTTGCATGGTGAGCAGAATATTGACTATGGCACATACTAAGTTGAGCTGATTACAAGTTATGTCTTTTCTGGGCTTTTCACAACTGCTTATTTTATTACAAAACTGCTTTTAAAAGTAAGACAAGTAAATATATATAGTTTTCTACTGAATACAAGTTCTACTCTATACTTTATCCGCATATCGATGTTAAATGGGAGCATGAAAAGAATCATATCCCAAACTGAGTTCAATACATTAGAAAAACTTGATAAGTACATACAGATATTTTCAGGAAAAGAGCCTTTCAGCCATGGAGTTTGTAATGTTAAAGGAGAGTGACAAGCTGACATGAATTTCCATCCCAACGGTGCTATGCTGACTAAATCTGTGCAACGTACACCTGTTCTGATTTTTAGATCAAGTGGTTTTACTGGCCAGGAAAGCCATGATCCCTGCTGCGGTGATCAGGATGCTTGGCTGGGATTCTGACGCTGCGGTCCCAGCTGGTGTATTACCCTTGTCCTTGTTGTGGAAGGGAGGTGCAGTGCTCTCTCCTGTGGATGCTGGTGTCTACAGCATTTATGTTGCTCATAGTGAGAAGGAGGATTTAAACTTAGATCCCTCATACCTTTGGTAGTGGACAATACACACATAAGCAAATGCAACATGTAATACTCCTTATTTTGTGAGAAAGCTCTATCTGGCTTAGATGCCTAAGAGTACCTAAGAACTCAGAGCAGTGAAACCTCAGCAGAAGGAAGTATCAAGCATCCTCTGAAGGGTGAGACCTAAACCCATGCCCGGACCTTAGTACCTTGTTTTGGTTCTCCCTGGCATATTTGATGGGCTGGTGTCTATAAATCCCAGTCCTTAGCTGCCCATTTCTCCTCATTCATTGCGTTCTGTAGCCTCAAAACTGAATTTGATCTGTGAGCTCATGTTACCCAGCAGCTGGGTTCCTGAAAACTGGGAATGTTACAGCATTTTGTGTTGCAGCAACCAGGCGTGTTGTATGTCTCTATATGGAGTATATATAGTATTACATAACATAACCAGTCCTGCCTTTCCATAGGCAATGATGAACTCTGAACTCTGTATTATCATACACACACACATGATACCTTGGTGTTATGGTCTCATAAACAGCTCTGTGAGAATGTCAGCTCAATAAATAATGGTGGTCAAGAAAGAAAATCAGATGTTAGGAATTATTAGGAAAGGAGTGGAGAGCAGAGAACACGGTGAAGCCATTGCATAAATCTGTGCTTTGCTTCTGTCTTAAATGCTGAGGACACTTCTATGTTTTCTGTCTCAGAAGGTGTATTGTAGAACTGGAGAACATTTGGAGAAGGGCAAAAAAAGACCAAAGGTAGGGATAGCTTCTATATAAGGAACAACTAAGCTGACTGGGATTCTTCAGGTTGCAAGAACAAAAACTGTGGAAGGAAATTACAGGTATCTGTAAAACCATAGGTTCACAGTAAAATTTGTGTTGCAAAGATCCCAGGAGGTCATCTTAGTCCAACCTCCTGCTTAAAGCAGGTTTCCTAGAGGTTAAAACAAAGTCATTACTGTGAACATGGAAGCAAAACAGAAAGAACAGGAAGACAACATGCTTGCAGCTACTTTTGCACTCAAAGCCACTTTTCAAACAGTTATTCTTGTGAGTTCTGAGGATAATATGCTAGATCAGACTTGTTGCAGCAATGTAAGGTGGAAGTAACAGAGGCCAGAGCATGTACAGTCTGGAGAGGAAAGGGACAGGACTTGCTACCCCCGTTATCTTTGAGCCTGAACTTCATTGGTATCTTAAAGGGACTCTTACCTGGACATCATGGTTGGTTCACTTTCCTATTTAGATATCCGTATTCAGATAGCGCTTACACTTACCCAGCTAGTTCTGGACTACACATATACAATCAATGGGTTGCAAAGTCAGGAACTTCCAGAACTAAGGATGCCTCTGAAAATATTATTTTGACTTTATATATTTCCATATAACAATATGTAGTGTATGACAATATATATTGTCAATATATGTAATGTATGACAATATATATTTACATATATATTTACATTGACTTTATATATTTACATGGTCACATGCTCTGTGCAGTGCATAAGATTGTTAATACTGAGATTAAGGAATAATTATTCAGTACTAGCAAAGAGTATCAATTACCAGCAAACCACAAAAAAGAGCTTTAAACATCTGTGCATCCAAACATAAAATGATAAAAAAAAAAACACTCGTAAAACTGGAGTTTACTGCTTGAGTTTTCAGCCAGTATTTGAGAGTAGGGTCCTGATACTTCACGTGGTGCTGGGGATGACATTAAAAAGTAGTAAAGTCTCAAGTTTTTAGTGGGAATATCTCTTGTTTCCAAGAGGGCCAGTAAATCACATAGCTGCTTTCATTCAGTTTCTTATCAAAGAGTTAAGCTGCTTGTAAATGGCCCCTGTCTGCTCGAGTCCCCTGAGCCCAGGGCCAGGCCAGAGAGTAGATGAATGTGCTTGCAAAAAGCACAGTTTCTTATCGGTTCAACTCATATTCTGTAGCA